AGCATACTTGCATGGTGTTCTGCCGAAAATATAATAACAAATCAGGACAAAGGTCATTATCACTATAAATTTTCCCTTTTTAATCCACAGAACAAAAGGGTAGTTTCAACGTCGTTTTTCAAAACATCTTCTAAAAATATAGGACATGAAAAGAAGTAGCAAGAGAATAGTCAATGCTCACCAGCAAATACCAAAAAGTCTGCAAATTCTTCACTGTGTAAGAGAAATTCTCAATTGAAAAATCTCAACGATTTTCTTTATAATGTCATCACTTTAGTTCTTTATAGATGAATTACTGTGTTAACAAATTTTTACACACTTTAACATTATCCTTTCTTTTTCTTTTTTCTTGTCACAAAATCTTTTTACATATCACAATTCACTTAACCCGATGTCACTGTCAAAAACTAAAAACAGAACCAAAAGACAAAAGGAGGTAGTCCTTTCTCAACATTATAACGGTTTTATCTTTTTTGTACCCAGTTGAACACTTCCACGGCAAAGATTGACTAAAACTCATGATATTTTCGTTGAAATTCTACTTCACATTTCACACTCAGTTTCACCCAAGAATGTTCATTCAACTGCTCTATCTATCATAGTATTCTAGTCCAACAAGATTAAGATAAAAAAAACATAAAATGGTATGTGTAAATGTGATCCATACCTTCGGTAAATGACTGGGATTTCCCCACGGTTGCGGAGCTGACCGTTTTCACCGGCAAACGCCATGCGGCCGAAGGCGGAGCCACTGAGGTCGAAGTGCGTTCGGTCAGACGGGCAGCCCGGGCACTCATCTGTTACTATAACCGTCACTGCCCGCTTGGAACATATGCTATGGTCCAAACACTTCACCTTATAACAAGCCCCGCATCCTTCTCCTTTCTTGAACAACACTGACCCCACTGCACCCACCCTTGCCTTCAACGGCTTCACGTCCACCAATGTACCATACCCACATGCTCCTCCTGATCCAATCAATTCATCAAATTCAGTTCCTCATTCACTATCACCCAACAAAACTCATCTTAAAACGTGTTAGAAAGCCAGTTAATCATGTTAATTATAAAACTTATAAGGTTCATTTCCACTTTGCATTGTTGAGTCAACATCTCGACTCAGTTTTAGTCCTTACCGGTGCTACCGTCGCCCTCGGGTTCGCCGTACCACGTGGCGGTTCCCGGGTACCAATGTTGGTCCAGGACACTGTGAGTAGGAGTCTGTCCTAGCGCAATGTTAAAGCACAGGCTTAGAATAAACACGGCGGAGACACGGTGGCGCTGCATTTTGTTTTGAGAGAATAAGAAAATGGGGTAACGCGCCGCAGCGAATGTCGGCTCCGGCGAGCTCGGAGCACGAAAAAGCAGTTAATGGAAAAGTGGGATTGCTGTGTTGCCGACAGTTATTGATTGGTGGCGGCGGAGTTTTTTTTTTTTTGCTTTGGTTGTATGAGACCGTTACATGGCTTTCGGGGTTTTATAGTTGAACACAGTGGGGTCTACTCAACGGAATAATTGCCCTGACCTTATTATCCATTTGTTTGGTATTTATTTACAATGGGTGCCACTGTGTTGGGTCCCACCGGCGGTTGAGGCGTTAACTCCGCATGTGCGTGCCCTAAAGTCGACGCAAGTGGGTATATTGGTCCATTACTAATTGTTTTTGCTACCGTTAACCCTGTTTTTTGTTTAACGATCAGATCAACTGAAAACGAGATTGTAGCGTTTTCAGAAAACGACGTTATTTTAAGGACCAAACTGCCGTTTACACGAGAACGACTCGCACTAAAATGTTTTCCTCACGATGTTTTTATTTAATTATATATTAATATTATATAACAAAATTGGAATTGTGAATAAATTGAAATATAAAAGACAATGATAGCACGTTTAGAACTAAATTAAAAAAAAGGTCAATCAAGCAATTAAGCTGTGGGATTATTTTTCTTTTCCTTTTGAAAAAAAATGGTCCCGTCTTTGAAAAAAATTCCTAGATATTTATGGAATGACAGAAGTTGGAAATAATTGCTTGGAATTTTCAGATAACGTGACTGTGGAGTCTATTATGCAGTGGATTCATGTCTTCCAGTGGAAAAAATTGCAAGCAGAATAGAGAATGATCATTGGTCTATTGAGGCCCTATAGATTGTATTATTGTGATTATTGTCTAGTATTTGTTGTTATACATATTGGTGCGGACCAGATATTATATGCAAAAATGTAACATAAAATTACACATATATTTTGATTAAGAGTATTACACACATTAATATTCATTTCACACGTTTAACAAGATAAAATGATTTTAAAAGAGTAAGCTTTTGTAATATTTTAAAAAGAAGAAAGTAAAAATTTAAAAATAATAGTGTCAAATGAACATAAAAAAAAATTACATGTGTCAAAGTATCATTTCTTATATATTTTTCTTCTGTCAAGCAAGCGTAGGTTTATTAGAACTAGGGTATGATATTTATATTAAGAAACATGATCCATGAAAACGAGTAATTTGTTTAACAAAAACTGATGTCTAATTAAGTTTTTCGAGAGTAAATTGAATTTCATCGAATTCAATTTTAGTAAAGGTAAAGCAACGATAGAAGAGGGAGTTTAGTTAATCAATTAGCACTAATTATATCATAATTATTGTGTTTTTGTTTGCTGTCTAGTGATGGTTATAGTTAAACTTACTATCAGACCTCATTAATTATTGATTATCAAAGACGCTTAGCAGAAAAATCCATGGATGGTTATTTGCTTCACGAATTATAGTTGGTCCAAGGTCAGCAAAATTGGAAGGTGGTGCCGACTCGCAAGGTAGCAGCATAATGACATAGGAAAAGAACGAATAAAAAACCAGCTTTTTTAAATAATAAAAAATAAAAGAATATGAAAAATATATAACTTTTTTTATTAAAATTAATCCAAAACTGATATTGATTTATAATATAGAAAAGGAAAATGTGTGTTTTTTTTATATATCCAATTTATTTCTGTAATTTTCTCTAGATATCTATATCTTATCTTTATATTGTCTTATTTAACGCCATTATGTAAACTATTCATTTTTGTTGTTTAGTTTTCATTTTTATAAATGCTAATACATAATTCTTCTTCCAAATTTTTAATAATGAGAATCTTTCGAATTTTGAAAGACATGCGACAAGTGCCGGCAGGAGATAAACTTTTGATAATATCTACTTAATAAATATGTACAGATGAATATATATGTATATATACACACATACACAAAATTTTAAAATTAAAGAGAAAAAGAAATAAGAGAGATAGTTAAAAACAAGCAGTAAAGAAAAACAGATATAAAAACCCTATTGCAATTATTGTGTGGATAATAACTTAATTAGTAATTAGTATAAATGAATATTGACTATAGACTAATTTGATTATTGGTAGAAATGGTTAAATGTTTTGAATCCTTAATTATCGGAAGCATAAAGTTTAAGTGGGATTAGGATTACCAAATCCCACATAAGAATATAAAGCTTTTAGGACCAAATATCTAAACTCCAAAGCATCAAATCAACCGAAGATATTGATTCCAATGCTTTTAAAAAGAGGATTCACACGAAGTGAAATTTAATCCGTGTAAAGCTTTCTTTGGCTGTTGTAAAGACTAAACAATTTAATATACTATTAATTATGAAGAGTTTTTTTTTCCAAAATAAAAAAAATTGACCAATATAAAACAAATAAGATAAATATGTTGCAAAATGACAAAAGATTATGAAACAAGAAGATTATTTGTAAGGTTTTGCTTACTTTAAATAATGAAAAATATATATATATATTTATAAAACTATATAATAATATAAGAGCGATTAAGGTAAAGTAAGTAAATTCATAATTCTTTATTTTTTGGATAAGCTCACTTCACTCGTAAAATCTGTTAATTCTCAATAAAAAAAATAAGTGCCCATAAATCACGTTCAGTCTGGAACTTTTCTTTTATCAACGAAATGATATTAATACGAATATAAACAGGTAGTTGAGGCCCCACGTTTAATAAATTAAGTATGATTAAGTGGTAGTTAAAGATTTCCATACGAACACACGAAGATATAAGCACATGGCTGACTTATACGTTATAATGACTTAAATAAGTAATGAGGAAATACTTTGGATAAACTGTTTTAACAAATATTAATATTATAAGTGAAAAAAAAGAAGAAATATGGATAAATTAAAGTGACACGAGGGTTATATGAAAAACGTCAACGAAAACATTTATCGATCTGAATGCATAAAATGCTTGAAATTCTGATAGCGTAGGACAGGGAAGAAGATGTTCCAACTGACTTTACGGCTTCTCCAAACTTCAGACCACATGGTAAGATATGCTGGCTGGTACTCTGCCAGTCAAGTAGCTCGTCACCAACGTGCCACCTACAAATTCGCGAATCATATATAATTTATTCTTCCTATTTTCTAACAAAAACTAAACTATTCAATTATAAATCTAAGTTTCCCGTTAAATAAAAATAAAAAAAAACATAAATAATATATAAAAAAATAAGTATTCATAAATTCATTGTTTTATAATTATTTTTTAGTTTAAACCCTCAGTTGATCCTCACTTTTGTATGGTAATCTCAGTTGGATCCTCATTTTTGAAACCGTCTCAGTTGGGTAATATTTTTTTTAAAAATGAGCCAATTTTACTCTAACTGTTAAGTGCTCTTAGACGACGTTAAGTTTAGCTGAGATGTATTTTATGTTTTGATGGTGTGGCATTGTGCATTAAAATTGAATGGGTGATGTGTCTTAAATCATCAAATCCACGTAGCGCCTATGCTTCTTCTTCCTTCCAACCACTGATCACCTTTCACCTCTTTCGCTCCTCCGCCCAAGCTGCTTCCTTCCCACTCCCACCCTCAAACCCTCACACTCCCCAGACACACACCATTTCTTCCTCTCAAACTAAAAAATGCCGCCGTCGGGGCGCGTTTGTCGAACTCCTCTTCTCCTCTGCCGACGGAGCACCTCATCTTCCATTCTCTCACTTCTCCTTTTCCCTCACTCTTTCTTCATTTTTCTCTCTCCAGAAATGGCATCAAAACTCTCATTCATGGTGTGTTTCATGGCTCTATGCGCCATTGATCTAGCACAAAGCGCATCATACCCTCAAGCGCCAACACCGTCTGTGGAATGCTCAACTCTTGTTCTCACCATGGTTGATTGCTTGTCCTTTGTCACCAATGGCAGCACCGTCACCAAGCCAGAGGGTACCCGCTGTTCTGGCCTCAAGTCTGTACTCAAAACTGCTCATGTTTGCCTTTGCGAGGCTTTCAAAAGCAATGCTCAGTTTGGTGTGATTTTGAATGTCACCAAGGTCACCAGTCTCCCTGCCGCATGCAAAGTCTCTGCCCCTTCTGCCGCCAACTGTGGATGTGAGTAAATTCTGCTACTTTTTTTCTTTTCCCATTTGGGGTCTCTGTTTTCTCTTTTCTTTTGTCTTTTCATTTTCTTTATGGTAGATTTCTTCATAAAGATCAATGCTTTCGACTTCTGGGTTGGTTAAAGGTTTCATTTTTATGCATGCTCGAGATGGATCGTTCCCATGGTGCCTTTCATTGTCACGCCACTTGTGTTACCAACGAGAAACACATTGAGAAGCACAACGAGAAACAACAAAGAAGAGGGAGAAAGGCGTATCCCCTCCCTACCAGGACAAATATAAACCATAACCAACGGAAGAAGGAACCTCCCTGTACAGGGACCTTGCATGAGACACAAGAAATAAACAAGTTGTTCGCGAACTCAACGTTTAGGGAAAAGAATGTCAAAAAATAAATTCCTTCCAAATTAGATTAAACATAAATCTTTGATGATATTAAAACATTGCATTTATATGTTTTCCATTTAATTTTGATCATTCAACGCAGACCTCCGAACAGCGGTGTTTTTGTTCCAGATTGGGGTTTATGTTCTCACACGACAGCGACGTTTTTAAGTTTGAGAGGGAGAAAGGGTGTGTGTCTGGGGAGTGAGGGTTTGAGGGTGGGAGTGGAAGGAAACATCTTGGGTGGAGGAGCGGAAGAGATGGAATGTGATCAGTGGTTGAAGGAAGAAGAAGCATCATAACCACGACAATTTAATGATTCTAAAACACATCACTCATTCAATTAAATGCACAATGCCACGCCATCAAAATATAAAATACAGCTCAGCTAAACTTAAAATTGACTCATTTTTACAAAAAATATAACCCAATTGAGACAGTTACAAAAATGAGAACTCAATTGAGATACCATACAAAATTGAGATACCATACAAAAGTGAAGACCAACCGAGAGTTTAAACCTTATTTTTTAGTTAGAAGAATGTCAATTTTTTTTATGTAGATTTGGATGTATTATATATGGAGGTGGCTTATTCTTAGATACATGTTAATTTCTCTTGTTTTATCAACCGTAGTTGTGCATATAAAACTTATGATATGATAGCAACATACCAACACTCATCGATCATCTAGTTGGATTTATTAATATATTCCTGAATGTGTTTTCTTTTATTAAAAAGTTACACCTTCAACAATTTCTGCTATATTAAATAAACAGATGAATTACTTATTTCTATTTGTTGAAGTTGAAATTAATATTGATTTTGTAATGTATGTATTATTTGGTAGACACCTATCAAAATATCACAACTGATAGTTTAGGTATGTATTAATTCATTAATTAGGTCTAAAGATAATTGAATCATGATTAGGTTGATGCTAATAAAAAAGTTTATGAACAAAACTATAATTATAAGTCAAAGGTATGATGGAGACTTTTATCATGCATTTATTACAACTTTAATGGTTTAACCAATCAAACTTTAGCTAATTTTGGGGTCAGAATAGTTTTAACAGGTACCTTTTATTGGTTGGAGAATAGTGTACTCAAACACACAGATGATAACATTAGAGTAAATGACTAGTAAATTGTTTTAAGTGAACGTTCGATCCTAGACTTAAAACATTTTTGCACATATTGTGAGGACAAGCAAAACACTTTTGAAACCCACATGGTAATGGTTGGAAGTCTCACATCGACATGGGTGCAAATCACATTTTACAAGCCGATTTTGTGAGGTTGAGTTAGACTTAAAGTTCACTTTTTAACATAGTATCACAGCTAGGTTAGAGCCTATCCTAATGAGATTTATGTCTTAACATAGTATTAGAGGTAGGTTAAAGCATATCCTAATGAGATTTATGTGAACATATTGAGATGGTTATATGTTTTAGAAATGTATTATCGTTTTAAAATCACAATTTTAATTGTTTTGAAATTATATTGATATTTTACTTTTTTTTTATTTACTTTTTTATGTGCAATTCAATGATAACATAAAAATGTGTATTATGGTTTACAAATTTAATTTTAGTATTGTTTTGAATAAATAAATCTCAACATTTAAAATTATCAATATAGTTGTTCAAAGAAAATAATTAAGTCACAATCTCTTATATTTTACATTTTTATTTCAAACTAATAAGTTTTAGTACTTAATTTAATTCTAAATACATCAAAGTAATTTTTATGTAAATAAATTAGTACTTTCTCTTATAGGTTAACAAAGAGACAATAACTTGTATAATTTTATTATTTAGTATTTAATTAAGATATATATAATGTTGTTGTTGGTTTTAAACCAATGCGTAAGAACGGATTGATACTTTTTATTTTTTTTGTGTTTCTTATGTTAATATATATTTTATTAAAAGATATTTAGAGATTTGAAAAAAAATAGTATTATTTCTAACTTTACAATTAAATTTTTTAAATAGAATCAATAGAAAAGATATTTATAAGTTTACAAATTTGGTATGTATTTAAAAGTATAAGGAAAAGATTTTTTAAAAATACAAAATGATAAAGCATGTACAAAATATAGAATAGAGTCTATACAAATATTAAAAATATCCATGTAAAAATTTGGGATTGTAAAAAGGTTCAAGTTTGGTGGATCAGCTTGTCAGTTCGATAAAAAAAGACAGGTTGGGATAACATTTTCGACTTGGGAATCTGAACCAACTCGATTCGCCAAGCTTGACAACTTAGCAACCTGGCGGTCATCCTTGCAGGTCAGTCGGGCCAACTCACCAGTCTAACCTCATTAAAAAAACTGGAAGCCACGTTGCGACACTCTATATTTGAAGTACTTGAAAAAAACTACAATGAGGGTAGGGTTGAATAATGTTATTGGAAAACCTTTTCATAACAATTATGATATAACATTTTCGTCGAGGATCAAATATTTTACATAAGTTGTTAAACGCTTGACTTTGAAATCAGTTTAAACAATAAATTTCTTTCAAGTGTGTTTCAGTTGTTAAGGAGTGTTTGTTGCAATGTTTTAATAAAACTTCCTTTTTAACAAAAAATCGTTTAATGTAACAAGCTTGTAAGAGAAACATTTAAAGAGAATAAAGCAATAAGAACACAATTGTTTTTATACTAGTTCGCTCCACCTGATCTACGTCCAGTCTCCTCTAACACCTTAGAGTGTTCCACTATAATCTTGAACAAGATTACAATGAGTACTCTCACCACTCCTGGTATCCATAGTCACCCCAAGTAATCACTTTTATCCTGACTAGTTGAGTTTCACTCACTCCTAATTATGTAGTATTCTTCATCGCTTATGATATCCCTATACGCTCCTGGTATCCTTCATATACACTTTCTAGTTGAGTTTCACCAACTCCTGGTTTCCACTAGACAATCATGGTATCAACCTAATACGCTGCCCAATAATTCTTTAGCTCAATTGAGTTAATCAACAAGTGTTTGAATTCTCTTCAAAATGTGTAATCAATGGGATTGCTTATAAGTCTTTAGACTATTACCCTTGCAGAGAGGATATGTGTTCAATATAATTCAATCTAAAAGACTCACTAAGTATTTTCTCTCTTGTATATCAATGAAGATTGAGAGTGTTTCTAATCTTGAGCTTTTTCTCTTCTCTGATATTCCCTTTTGAGTTCGTGTGTTTTTCTCTCGACGATGTTCGCTTATGCTCTTTCTCTCTATATGTTATTCTCTTGATTCTTTCTTCGACTCATCTTCTATTTAAAGACTTCTTAAAAAGATATCTGTTAGAAGAAGCTTTGGCATTGATTCTTGAGTCTTCTTAGTCTTGTCGTATGAAGCAACCATTGGTTAAACTTGACTTGTTAGAGTAAACTTGCTTTTTCAGTACTTTGACAAAAGTAGGTAGTACTATTTATATGAAACTTCTGATGAAGAGAACATTCTGTGAATGTCTTCCTTGTTCCTAATGTCCACTTCTGATTTGTATAGGATGGAACAAGTGGATGCGTGTAATAGGCAATCTGCACAAAGTAGAATAGATATGCATGTAACATATATGTCTTATCTCTCATCATTTTTTTTGTTTTTAAACGTTGAAAATTTAATGCTCGTTTAGAACAACAAAGTGTTTTTTACGTTTTCTACCATTCGAGTATGATTTTATCATTTGAGCTTCACACTAAGATACCAATCAATTGATTTAAGGCTTCACCGTTGGATGAAGTGGATCGTTTAGCACATGGTATCGTCCAACCTATATGTAAATGCTTTAAGATTCTACTTTATTTGGCAGAATGTCTTCTATCACAACTTTTTGGAATGTTAATTAAGACTTTCAAAGTGCTTTCCAAAAACATTGTCTTGACACTTTTACCTCTTAACTATATTGAGAATTGATTGATTATCGTTTGGTACGTTATAACTTTTGTGTTTAGCAAGACTCTTATTGATGCTTTAACTTGGGAATCGTTTAGTGGCACATCCAGTTTTTGCCTAGGTGTTTTTCTAAGACTTGACCTAAATTACTTGGTTTTCTGAGTATTTTCATTCATTATCTATATTCCAACTATTATGATATTTTAGTGATAACATTGTCATATGTTCATTTCGTTTAATGTTGTTTGTTAAACCTCAAAACATATGAGAATGTTTAGCAGTTCAGTCTTATAGACGATCTTGTATTAACAATATTAACACAGTCTAACAGTCTGGTCCAGGTCTGATATAGCTCGACCAAGATCTAAAACAGCTTCGACGAGAGCCCATTTCAGCTCTTTCAGCCTAGAATCAACCTAACAACCTTTCATTAGCACATTTTCATGTAAAAAATAAAAAGTTCCAATCATTTTTCGTGTGATATTAGACTTTCGATGACAGAAAGAAGAAAGTTGAGGCAACCTAACAACGGGTTGGGCCGGGTTGTAAAGTTCAATCCATTTTCAATTAACAAGTCAACTTTGTCTGACTCATTTTTGGTGGGCTAATGTTAGGTCGGACAATAGGCCATGTTTGTATGTTTTGCCACCCCTAGTAGAAATATATAATATAAATTCATTAAACATACTAAATGTACTGTATGCCTGTCCGATCAACCCTGAACAACCAACCATCAACCAAACGATCTAAACTCCAAGATTGATGACACCATTGGCCGACTATTCTGGGAAGTGCTCTTCTTGGTCGACTACCCTAGGTTGTGTTGGGAATCCAAGTGTGAGTCCAAGTCCCATATTGGATAGAAATGAGAAAGTAGAGCAATATATAAGGGTGAAAGACCCATTAACTCATTGCTTTAAGGTTTTGGGT